TGTGGTAATAATAATGATAACTCATCAAACTTTGCTTTGAAGGAGCTGATACAGATAGCACTAAAAACTTCAATAGGTAGTGCGTTTCATGGGTTTGCTTCTACTTCTTCAACTATACGGTTGTTGAAGAAGTTGAAGTGAACGAGACAGTTGTGGTCAATTTCACAATAAAAGCGCTGTTTTTTCTTAGTAGTATTTGACTGTTGAGGCAAAAGAGAGAATCTTAGCATTGCATTTTTCAGACATATAAGCAGCCTTGACTCTACCAGGACCTGGCCAGTTATCAAATATATGAGTTTTTGCATCTTGGCTGCACTCAGTATGTTATGCAAAGGACTGTGGATCAGTGGAGGATTAAACAATTTCCCTCAAGTTGAGCTTAATGAATTTCAAAGTGAATCATTAGAGTCAGAAAAAGGAACTTTATCTAACAGTGGAGAATTCAAGGTTCAACTTAACTTGGTAATAATAAATGATAACCCTTCTTTGTGGGCAGTTGTTTTGAGTCAAAAAGATGTAATTATTCTAAAGAGATCTCCAGCACAAAAGCAGTATTCAAAAGCGGCTAATTGTCCCCTCTTTCTTGAAACTGAGGAGCTAGAGATCAACGGAGGAAACTCATAAGCCATGTGAAGCAGAATCAATGCATCCCATTGCACTAAAGGTTCTACAATGATTGGAAAGAGACCTACATTCGTCTTACCAGCTCCACTGGTAAATATTTAGAGCTCCATAAGTTAATAAACTCTAAGACAGCTAAATGGCTGACAATTCTTCGTGAAATTTTGAATGTGACTGTTTTCCTGGCTTCTAAGGAATTTAACTTTAGGGAATTTAATTTAGGTGTTTTCATTAACTTGACAAAAGCTTTAGATACTATTGATCACGTAATTCTTTTAATAAAAGTTGGAGTGGTACGGAATTACTGGAAATGTATTAGTTTGGCTAAAAAGCTACTTAAATAATCAAAAACAATTTGTTTATGCAGGTGATAACTTATGATCTAGTTTGTTAAATATTTCATGTGGAGTTCCTCAAGGATTAGGAAGTATTAATAATCTACCAGAAGCTTCTAACCTAATGACAGTTATGTTTGCTGATGATTTTAACTTATTTCTTTCTCATTATAACATTTTTACACTTTTTAGCAACATAAATATTGAACTAGTCAAAATTTGCAATTATTTGTTGCTTTTTGATAAAAAAACTATTATATGTTTAAATTTAATGAATTATTTAACATGTTTTACTTTTTAAGTTTAAGAACTCTTCCATTGTAATTTTGTATGTTTATTTTAATTTTAATTTATAATATTATATTACGAACTTTATGTCGTCAGAAGGGAGAAACGGTAATTTATATATTTTTGAAAATTATGGACATTATTGTTCGCATGAGTCAGCTGTTCGGAAGACACAGTAATTTGATTGGTGCAAGACATAAACAAAGAAAAAAATCATTAAAAAAAAACTCTTCCAATTTCTTTAATAGCGGTTTCTCTGTGACAAGAAGCTTTTTTAGGTAGCTCATTATAAAGTTTTCTCATTATCAATTAATTATAATTTTTTATATAATAATTAAAATAATTTGTAACACCCCACTTGAAAAATGTATACAATAATTATAATGACAACATCAGCAAGAAGACTCCACAATAAGTGCTCATTATTTCTTTCCGTCGTCTCAAAATGAGTTTACCAAAGAATATGGTGTTGTCCAAAGTGCAGCTGTCGAAGAAACTCAGGATGGTATCTACATCAAAATCATAGTTGATGGTACCCCTAATATATCTCATACTGAGCGGATAACCTTTGTCATTCGTTTTCTCCTCTATGAAAGAGAAATTAATAGCTTTAAAAATAAAGAACAATGTGTTGAAATTTTTGAAACGAAGAAAGGATTTGATATCACTTGTATCCATTATTGTGTCCCTGACCACTACATTTTTGATATTAAAAAATCTAATGGTCAGGGACACGATAATGGATCCAGTAGGTCAGGTGCTTACAAGGGAGATCAGGGCTTGATAAGGCTGAATTATTCAGAAGCTCTGTACGTTCCCTGTAGATCGCTAACAGTCTGATTTTGGCTGGTGTGCTCGCAGTTGATCAGCCATTGAGATCAAAGTATTCTTCAAAATGTCGAGTCTTGGAGCGTATTTTTTAGTCCAAGTCTAACCCGATGGAAGATTCTCACTAAGACAACTGGAATTTCACTGCATAGACTTTCTCTGACAAGATGGAGATCTCATACCAACTTGATCAAAACACTTGCCAAGAGGCCGAGAGAAATGTTGGCAGCTTTTAAACATATCATGAAAAATCTGGATCTGATCAGTGAGCAGCTAAGCCAAACAAGAGATTTAAAAAAATGATTATTTCAGTTTACAATTATTAATCGTAGTAGTGTAACGAGGGGCAAAAAGAGACACTTAAGCGCTAATATATCTAATACGTCTAACAACTTTTGAAAAAATAAATTGATATTTTTCAATTTTTCTACAATCCTATTTGAAGCCTAAAAAGTATGAGTTGCAAAACTGCAGTAGTTTGGTCACCAGAGATCATTTATTGACAGCACCTATCCTGTCTCATTTTGCCCCGCATACCGGGGCAAAATGAGACAGATTTTTTTTTTTAGTAATTTAAATAAATAAAGTTAAAAAAAACATATCTTTAAAAGGATTAGCAAGAAATACATTTTATAATATATTACAGCTATAATCAAACTGTCACTAGTCACATAAATCACATATTGCTTAACCAGTATTTTGAAACAAACAACAGTCCGAATGAGCCCAGGTTGTGCATTTCGGAAATTGACTCCACTTGTCAATTGCTGTCTCATTTTGCCCCGCATTACTCTATAACAATATAACAATATATAAACTTGGTATCTGAAAGAAGATCCAAATGATCATGTCGCCAGAACCATATAAAATATATCATACGTGTATATATAATAAAATAAAAATACAATCGATCTAATAACTATTAACAATGTAGAAGAAACAAAAACTGAAAATAATTTTACAAATTATCAAGAGTGAAAAAAATAATTTTACATTTCAAAAATATTTATATATATTGCAAGTAGAAAGAATATAGTTTTTTAATTTAGTTTTAAAAACGGAAAACGAAATTGACAAATCAAAATTTGGAACAACAATTTTGTTCCATAAATACGGTGCTCTATAGTTTATGCAAAATTGGTTAAACTTTGTTTGACAAAAGGATTCAATTAATAAATTATTATTTTGTAAAGGATATTTGTTTATAGCTTTATAAGTAAAAAGATCTTTAAAATTGGACATTCACTTTTACAACGAAACATAAAACATAAAATATTATAGACATTGAGTTCGTAAACGTTAAGTGCTTTAACGTTTTTAAATAAAATATTTGAATGAGAAAAACGATTTTCGAAACATATTAAACGCATTGCGTGTTTCAGACGATGGTAAAGATTTAGTAACTTACTTTTAGAGGAATTTCCCCACAATTCGGTACAAAACTCTTACTACTGTTAACGATGTTTGTCGTCTTCTACAATCTGAAACGTTACCATTGATGACAAGCTACGTTTAATTGGACTGTTGCTGGAAAGCATTAAACGGATTAGGGCTCTTGGTTGCAAGTTTTCTGAGGCTGCAGTTGTAGTTGACCGCTAGGATTCGAAACTGAATTCGCTCCTAAAAGAAAGCGTGAGCTACAGCGCTTTCATGATGAGGCATTAAACACAGTCCCTTTTCATGAAAGCCAAACAAAAGAATTTAAAGTGAACATTTTTAATGTTGGTTTAGATGATCTAATCCAGCAGATTGATTCAAGATTTGAAACGAGCAGGGTGGTTGGCAATATTTTCATTCTTCAGGTTGAATAATAATAATCTTTCCGTTTAAAATAAAGCTTGAGATCTCGCAAGATTTCATCCGAGAGATGTAAGCAAAAAAAAGAAGTTCGCCGTTTTACCAATGCCCGCAAAACAGTTTTCAAGCAAGCAATCTAATAAAGTTTAATGATCTAATCTTTTAGAAGAAGCTTAAACGCCTTTTTCCACATATTTGCATCATGCTCGAATTCTCAACACCATTTTTAAGTCAGTTGTTGAGGGTGAACAATCGTTTTGTACACTGAAAGTTGTAAAAGATATTTCTCCGTTCGACCATGTCAGAATCACATCACTGATATTTGATTATTTTGATTAAAGAAGATTCAACTAAAAAGGTGAGTTACAAGAGCGTCATTAAAATTTGGGCGGCCAAAAAAGCTCAAAAAATCATTTTAAAGCGACTTATTTACCTTTCTTAAAAGTTTTATTGATTGATTTTTTAATAGTTTTAAAACTAATATTTTGATTCATATATCAGTTTTAATTAATGAATCGTTTCTCAATCCAGAGAATTAATAGTAACGCAAAAATACAGTGTGCTGTATCAGAATTAAATAAAATGCTGCGTTAACAAAATTTTTAAAATTTAAGAATTTTAATTTCTTGGTTTGAATTAAGGGCGCCGCTCTTCATTTTTGACCCGGGCGCCATTGGCTCTCTCGGAGGCCCTGTCTACTACTACTACTACTACTACTACTACTACTACTACTACTACTACTACTACTACTACTACTACTACTACTACTACTACTACTACTACTACTACTACTACTACTACTACTACTACTACTACTACTACTACTACTACTACTACTACTACTACTACTACTACTACTACTACTACTACTACTACTACTACTACTACTACTGCAATAGCAGTAACGACAATAATAATAGTGAAAAACAATAAAATTTAAAATAAAAAATTAGTTTAAAGCATAAATAAATTTATTTAGTTTATAAAATTGTTTATTTGAATACAAAGTTTGTTTGCATTAAAATACACAATTGTCTCTTGGTAGAGAAGGCTAGTTAAAGAGGGTATCAGAATTTTCAAACAACAAGTTTAACGGAGTTAGTTGTACTTGCGCTCTGAATATCATTGAATCGCCGCGAGCTTAGGTAGCTGTTGCACATATTGCCTCTTTCTAGAATTTAAATTGACCATTTAAAACAACTTCAATAGCGGTTTAAATGACCTTTAAACATGTATTTTAAAGAGTTATTACGGCGGAAAAACGTAAATGATAAAGAAAGGTTATTAAATTATTTCTGACTTATATTGTATAATCTAACAGCGTAATATTTCTTTTTTATGGTTTTATCTACAGTAGTAACCGTATATTAAAAAATGCTGCTACATAATGAATTGTAATTTATATTAAGGATTATATATTATTTTTTTTATTTCAAACGATTTTTTTTTCTGCAAACAGCTAAAAATAATATAATTAGTTGAATCGTTTACTAAATGATTACTATTACAATCAAATAAATGATTTATATTTTTCTTTATGTTTAAGGTAAATGTACCAGTAATTGATCTTTTAAGAAAAAAAATTCCACAAGTTTGGATAGCGGATTTTCCTTTGTGTTTGGTTTCATATATCTACAAGCTTTCTTGACTTTTTGCTTCTTTTTTTTTCTACCTCATTCTCTTTTATTTTCTCTTCTTTACTTCTTTCCTTTTCAGCTGCTCTTTCTTGTTTAAAAAAAATATGACAAATGGTGGTCTAATAAATAATAAAAGTATGAAACATATATAACGATGAGTTTAGATAAATAAAGGAATCATTGAGTAATTGAGAACCCTTGGCAATTACTGAATATTTAAAATTTGGTGAGCCATTATTTGACCACCCTCAGAACTGACTACAGATGGACAGTAGGCAGAAAATAAATAACTTTTAATTAGTATCAAACATATGTATTTTGATATATAATCATCTGATATTAAAATATAAGGTACTTATCTTTTAAAATTAACTTTTTTCTCAAGTATCCTGAGCAAATTGTGGAAGAAAACATTAAAAAAATTAGACAAGAGTGTAGTACATTAACATTGACTGTCAGCCATCCATGTTCAAAGCTGCTAAATGTTTGCCGCATTTATAATCAAGACAATGTATCTAAAAAAAGGAAGTAGAGCTCTTTTCATCAACAAAGTCTAGGAATTTATTCAAGATAAAAATTAAGTAAAGCTTCTGCTGTGTTATTTATCTCAATAATTGTTTTTTTATGTCGTTTTGACCTTATCCTTTGTACCTGTAAAATTCAAGTTGTTTTTGCCTCTTTTCTTTAATAACATGCTATTGCTGGTGTTCTTGTTACTGTATTATTATCACTCTATTTAAAAGCGTGTTATTGATCATTTTAAGTTTTTTTTTTTTTTTTAAGTGCCTTTTTGCTTTTCTTTTTTTTTTTAATATCATTTTAAGTGTTCTTTTTTTTAATTATTATATTGTTATTATTACTATTATAATATTACCTGATATTATTCATGTACTAGTAATATGTTATACATCTTGTCAAATTTATAATGAATATTTGTAGGTCGTCATGTTTTAGTTAAATAACTGTATGTGACTGATCCTAACTTTGTATTTACTTTATAAAGTGAAATAAATGATTGATTGATTTATGTGTGTCAAGCCAAATGGTGAGAGAGTAGTTTCCTCCTGTTTTTAAAATCATTCTACTAGAGTAGGGCTTATTTTAGCAATTTTTCTTCTAAATGATCAACTATTGGCATATGATCAGTTGCTTCTTCATTTACCTTTAACTCATTTATACCTGCCTGTACATAATTTGAAATCACACTGTAGATAAAAAAAAAAAAAAAAATTTAAAACGTAGAAAAAAACACTCAAACTTTATAATTAAACTAAAATGTCAGCATTTTTTTCTATTACAATAAACTATTTCTATTGAATAAATCATTTCTCAAATTTGACTGTCTTTAAAAAAAGTTTATTAATAGTATGATAATGATTAACTGTTAAGAAGAATTCACATTTTGCAAAAAGCTCAGTTAAAGTAATTTTGTATCCTGATAAAATGCATTACTAATGAAATTTTGTAATGAAAAAGTTAAAAAAACCACCTTCATAATAGCAATCAGCTTTTATTTTGGACCATACATAGACTGTTTAGCTAAAATGTTTTTTTTTCTTAAAAAAAGTTGGTATGTCAGATTTTTTTTTTTTTTTTAAATTAAACATCTTTGCTTCCAACAAGGTTGCAAGCAACCACTAATTAGTGTTGGAAGTTACTGGAAGAGAAAAGATGAAGATTGTAGAGAAAGATAACGATTGAAACACAACTTAAAAGATTGCAAATTATATGAATCAAGAAAGCAAGATGAAGGAAGCAAGTTCCAAAGAACTGATGTTCGAAGAAATAAACTAGACGAATAAGAGTTTTTGGAGCACTTAGGAACAGTAACAGAAAAAGGATGAGACTTAATTAAATAACGAGTAACACAAGAATAAATTTTAGTAGATGGCACAATAGACGCTTGCTCTTTAGAGCAGTGCCCATTATAGTATTTGTAGAAAAGAGAAAGAGAAGCAACATTATGACAATGTGATAATGATTGAAGGTTGGCTGCAAGAGCAGGTCCAACTATGTTTACAATGCGTTTTTGTCTAAAAGAGAAAAGGCATCCTTAGAAGATCCGCCCTAGATATGGCAACATTATTCTATACAAGCTCGGATTTGAGATTTATAGAGATAGAGAATAGAATCCAGAGTAAGAAAGTGTCGAGCTCGATAAAGAGATGCAACTTTAGCAGATGCTAATTTTGCAACGGATTTAATATATGGTTTCCAAGAAAGATCAGAAGTAAGAGTTAATCCTAGAAGATGAAGGGAAGATGACTCATCAAGTACATTACCGTTCATAAATATAGGAAAGTCTAAATTATTGCGATAACGAGTGGCTGAAAAAAATTGAGTTTTATCTGAATTAAAGTTGATTAAAGTTCAATTTTAACCTTTTTTTCTTTGAAAAAAAATTTTAAAGAGTTTTAAAAGAAAATTTAAAATGAAAATTTAATATGTTTACATTTTATACAAAGTACTATAAGAAAACATGAAAATAACTTGTTATTTTTGATTAATATATATATCCTAGTTACACAATTAATGGCTTTATTTTAAAGATATTCTTTTTAGATGCTCCTTGTAGTTAAAAAAAGTATATTTATTCAAAGCATTTTTTACATATATTTTGTATATCTTTGCAAAATACAATTATACATTTACCAATTCTATGTTTCTGCAAATTTTGCAGAAATAAAAAAATAAAAAACATGCTGTAACTGGTATAAAATGGGTAATAAATAATGACATATTTATTAAACGTATTATTTGTATATTGTATTGCATATTGTATTATTTGTATTAATAAACACAGCTTTAAAAATATTACTTAAAGATATTAATTGTCAAGATATATAGAAAAGTAATAGTACTTTTACTTGTGTAAAATTAAGTTAAGACAAATTTATATTACTTTTTGCAAAATTATACCACATTAAAAATTATTTACAAAGTTTGGAATAGAAATTAAAATGATTATATTCATTTATATTTTTATTGGCAATTCAACTTCATAAAAAGTTTATTATCAAAGTTATTTTAGTTTTTAGTATATATTTTTCATTTAGTGATCATTGGAAAAAAAACTCTTGGGGTGAGTCTTATGGTTCACTAAGTCTATCAACAAATATGGTTTCAGAGACAGATTCAGATGTGGTTCCTATAGTACCTTACTCGCCGAGTTATTCAATGGATATGAGTGTCAATTTATCTTCTTCAAAAGAATCATCAGATGGTATGCGTTATTGTATGTGATATTTTCATGATATTATAACTAGCTTGTTTTATTTTCTAAAAACAGAATAGAAATTATATAATTAATGCAGATTTATTTGTGTTTTGTTTTTAAAAACAGAATACAAATCAAGCCTTCTCAAGAGTTGCGTGCAATTGCATGCCTTATATGATAGTGCTTATTATATTTTGCTTTGACATGTTTGTCCTTGCATGTTTTAAGTTAGTGTGTTTAATAAATATACAAAACTAGATCAAAAAAAAAAAAAAAAAGGTAAATGAAAGATAATATGAATAATAAATAAACCAGAAAAAATAAAAGCACAAAATTAATATATGTTTTTGCTTTAATTTAATTGTTTCACTATAAAGAATTTGGAAAATATCAAAGTAATAAAGTTGTTTAATCCAAGCTTAATTACTTCGAAACTAAATTGTTTTAAATTTTGAAACTTTGATATTTTCTAATATCTACAAACCAAATAAAACATAAAACAAATAAAAAAGAAAACAAAATTAAATAAAAAAATAATTTTCTTTTAGTAGGATTTGAGCACTCAACCGGCTTTGGTTGTGCATATATATAACAGTTGCGCAACATAAATAGCATAATTAATCAACCCATGCAGTTCATTTATGTGGCGATTTAGGAAAAATTATTAATTAAAACACTTTTAAATTATGTTTGAACTAATAATTGAGATGCTTCTAAATTAAATATATTGAATTTACCTGTGTCGACGTAAGTGCTCATTCAAACCACGTCAAGATAAGATTTTTGTATATTTACCACCCACCTTGTGCTTCTTCTAACATTGTTAAAACCAAATCCATGTGCAAGTTGATTTCCAATTTTCTGTTAACATGTGATTCTGCATGTATAATAACCGGTGATTTTCATTTACCACGTATAGACTGGTCGATTCCTATCAGTTTTAGTGATGCGTGTTTTGTAAATGCTCTCACATAACTTTTAACTGACAATACTCGACTTAATAATTTGTTAGACCTTATCTTAACAAATAATAAAAAAATTGTTTACAATGTGGGAACAGCTGCTCCATTCACCAGCACTTGCGACCATTCCACCATACTATTTAATTGTAATTTGATGAATTCCAAACGTCGTGAACTATCTAGTATTCACAATTTCTATAAAGCTGACTATATTTCGATTAATAATGACTTACTTAACGTAAACTGGTATATGTTGGCCAAACAAAACCCAGACGTTGAATCATTCTGACAAGCTATATGTAAAGTCCTAAGTGTATCTATTGCTTCTCACGTTCCTTCATTATGCAATAAAAAAAAGCTCGTTCAACCCCTTGCTATTCGTAAATTAGCGTCCAAAAAACGTACTCTGTACAGACTTTATAAAAGAACTCACAACCTTTCTGTTTTTATCAACTACAAGAATTGTGCACGTTTATACGATGCTGAAATCACGAAAAAATGTATTGCTCGAGAAAAATACATAGTAGACAACTCCAATTTAACCCAATTTTATTCTTACGTCAATTCAAAATTTAACTGTTTAAATTCTGTTGCGCCACTTGTAAGACCCAACGGTTCCCTATGTACTGATGACTGTGAATCGAGCCTTCTGAACAATTTTTTTGCTTCAGTGTTTGTCTCTGACAACGGTACTAAACCTGTGCTAGAACTACCATCCCACGATAGTTCTTTGAATAATGTCCTATTTTCTTATGATTCTGTTCTATCAGCTCTTCAAGAACTTCCACCAAAGTCATCAAAATCACCAGATGGGTTTCCCTGCTTTATTCCTGAAATCGATTGCTAATATTATTGCCATCCCGTTCTCTCTCCTTTTCGAGTTGTCAATGTTAACCGGTGTAATTCCGAATATTTGGAAAACTGCATATGTATATCCGATTTTCAAGAAAGGTAACTCCTCTTTATCTACGAACTACAGACCTATTTCAATGACTTGTATTAGTTGCAAAGTTATGGAGTCAATTATTGATAATAGTTTAAAAAGGTACCTTCAACTTAATAACTTTATCTCTATTCACCAATTTGGGTTCTTAAAGCATAGATCTACATTTACACAGATGTTAGCTTCTCTTAATCAATGGACCTCAGCTTTTAACAAGAAAAAGGATGTTGGTATTATCTATATTGACTTCAAAAAGGCATTCGACTCTGTATCGCATTCTAAATTAGTGTACAAACTGAATTGTTACGGCATTAAGTATGAACTTCTAAATTGGATTACCAACTTTTTAACTGATCGATCCCAATGTGTTTGCGTCCAATCTTAGAATCTTGCACCCCAGTGTGGAGTCCTTACCTTCTTAAAGATATACGTTGCATCGAAAACATCCAAAGATGCTTCAGCAGAATTACCTGTAAAAGATGCCATATTTCTTACACTGATTACGCATCGAGACTATTTGTTTTAAAACTCGATTCTCTTGAACACCACAGAGTCAAATTCGATCTTTTTATGACCTACAAAATTATAAACAATCTTGTCGACCTTCCTTTTTCCGATTTCTTTACATTTTCTAATTCTCATTACCCCACTAGAAGTCATGTGAAAAAATTAGTTTCATGCAATAAATGTACTAATGATACACGTAGATTTTTTTTTAGTGAAAGAATTGTAAAAATATGGAATTCATTGCCTGCTCACATAGTCAATTCATCTTCATTATTCATATTCAAAAAAAACCTACAAACTTACGACTTACAACAAATTTGCGTATTGTATTAAATTGCCTTTGTTCAGGTGTTACATAAGGGTAGTCTTGTTATTACCTGTCTCACCCTTTTGTCTTTTAATGTATTTTTTTTAATGCAAATAAATATTATTATTATTATTGTTATATCATACTAGTTTTATGCTTTTATATTCTCTGGTTTATCCTTTACTTATTTAATCATTTGTTAAGTTTGTTTCTTTTTTCAGTTTATGGTTTGTTTATTTTTAATTCAACTTAATTTCTCCGCGCAGCGGTCTTGCTTGTCAAGATTTGTGTTTCGGAGTTAAAGAGTTGAGAGAGGGTTGTACCACGATTTACAACAAAATATTAAAAAAAAAATGAGTAGCCTCCTCGACTGTAGTGGATTGGGGAAATGAATAATAAAAAAAAAAAAAATTTTCTCTTAAAATTTGTTTGGTTTTTTCAGCGCATTTTTTAAAACACACAAATTATCAATATATGTAAAAAACCGTGGCTTAGTTGTCAACAAAAAAATTGTATGCATAGTCATGTAAGGTGTGCGACCTCACTCATCTCTAAAAGGCTTGCAAATTATATAAGTACTGTATAATAAATAGTTTATATAAATGAAAGGCTGCTCCAAACATTTTTTTTTACTTACTGTATATAAAAAAATCAATAAAATAAAGCTTAATGTATTTGAAAGTGATTTGTTTATTGTATTCTATATAAAACAACTTGTGAAATAACATTGTGTGATATTTATTTTTTCGTAAACACATCTTTTTTAAAAAATGTTTTTTTTTTTTTTTGTCTAATTTTTGATGACAAAATATTTTTATTTGTTTTATAGCTTTTTTATGTATTTAGTTACAAAGTTTTTTTGGTATTTTAGACTTTTTCCACCTTAAACCTTCATGTTTATAAAGTCACTTAAAAATTAAAATGAATAGATGAGTAGTAACCAGAGGGGGTAGTTAGGTTAGGGACAAAAAAAAAAAGATAAGTTTAAGTGAAAGGAATTCTAGGTTTTATCCAGATCTGTCATCTCTATATTTCTCAATCATTTTTTTTTTAACTATTTATAAGGCTGCAAGCAGCCACTATTATAGTTGAAAAAGAAAAGATAAAATTTATAGAGCAAGATAACGATTAAAAGATGACTTAAAATATTGCAAATTATATGAATCAGGAAAACAAGATGAAGGGAGTGAATTCCAAAGGACTGATAATCAAGGAAAAAAACTAGATAAATAAGAATAAATTTAAAAAAGTATAGGGCCAAGGATAGAACCTTGAGAAACCTTGAGAAACAAGTGACAGGATATGAAGAAAAGTGCTGTCTATCAAAGACAGCTTTTATACCACCAATGGTAAGGAAAGGTTTAATAATCTTAAAGATGTTACCCGATACACGGTAAGAAGAGAGCTTTTGGAGAAGACCGGCATCCCAAACTTTATAAAAAGCTTTAGAAATGCAAAGAGCAATAACTTTAGCATCTTCACATCTATCTAATGCATGATAAAACCTATCAGTTATTACAGTTAACAAATCAGCGGTAGAACGAGAAGATCAAAATCTATATTGGTAATCAAAAAATAAGTTGTTAGATTCAATGTGAGAGATTTGTTTATGATAGTAAGGAGGCTAATTAGTCAGACAAATAAGATTGCTCTCCAGAGATTTTTTGAAAATAGGGATAACAGATTTTGCTCTACAGCATGCTGGAAAACAAGACTCTGATAAGCACTTGTTAAATAGTTTTGAAAGTGTAGACGACTAGTAAACAACCAGGGTTGATATTTGACCGGAACCAGAACTGGTTAAAACTGATAAAATATAGCCGGGGCCGGGTTTGTGACCGGGGCTGCATAAACATTTATATTTCCTAAAGTATTTTTTTTTTAATTTAAAATTCATGTTAAAATATATATATATATATATATATATATATATATATATATATATATGTATATATATATATATATATATATATATATATATATATATATATATATATATATATATATGTATATATATATATATATATATATATATATATATATATATATATATAAACATCATTATGATCAACATGATCATCATAGTTGTCATCATCATCACCATCTTGATCATCATTATCATCAACAGCATAAAAGAGGAAAGCTTGATGATGATGATAACAATTATGATGATGATCATCATCATTATCATCATCATAATCATCATCATCATTATCATCATTAGACTTTAGTCTTCCTCTTTTAGGCTGTTTCTCTAATATAAATAATGTAGAGCATTTTTATTCCT